ATGGATTAAAAGAAAATGGTTAAACTATTAAAAAAGCTCTTGAATTATTTTGAATTTTAAAAATAAAACTCCTATGTTTTTATTGTATCCAAATAAACTTTTATCTTTTAATTGATATCTAAATAAGTTTTTACTTTAAATGAAAAATTAATTTATATTAAGGATTTATTTAGGTACAAATTAAAGTTAAAAGGCTTATTTAGATACAAATTAAATGTTAAGGGTTTATATGGTTGGGTGAGAAAAAAATTAAAAAAAATAAAAAATCGATTCAAAACTGTAATATTCGGTTCGGTTTGAATTAATTTTTTATATTCGATGAATTAAATTTAGATATTAAATGTATTTATTATGTTCAGATTAGATTTTAGATCGAGAAATGAAAAACTAAAAAAAATTGAACTGAGTTATATATTTTTATTAACTTATATATTTTAAATTTTTATAAAATAAAAAATTATTTTTACCTAAACATAATTAAATATATTAAAAATCATATTAACATAATATATAAAAATAAAAAAGTAAATTTAAAAAATTGATGAACAAAATTGAAATGAACAAGTACAATTTGATTTGGATTGTATGAAAGTTTTGTTCAAATTTGAATTAATTTTTAAAAATTTATAATTTTATGCATTATCTAAAAAATTAAACCAAATTTGATTCAAATCGTTATGATTTATATAATTTGGATACAAATTAAAGTTTAAGAGTTTATTTATGTGAAATAAAAATATAAAAAATTATTTAAATAAAATAATAAAATTTAGAGGTGTATTTGTTATTTTTGACGAAAAAATATAATTTTCTTTTAGTTTTTTTTTAATCTTTCTATAACACTCCAATAGAAAGAAATAATACATTTTCTTGTATCTTTTCACTTATTTCTTTTTTAATTTTTTAGCTTTTCATTTTTTTATTCATTTTACGAAATAAAACCTTCATCTAATTATTTATTTTAATAATCAAATTCGAGATTTTCAAACACCGAATTTTGAGTTAACCGAAATGGAAGGGCTAAAATATCCAAAATTGGTAAACCTTGAAAAGAATATAGAATCAAAGTTAATTCTTTATTCCATTTGTTGGTTTATAGTACGGGGCTAAGTCGTAATTAGCCTGAATGTGAAGACTAACACTAGATAACTTGATGTATGTATGTGCGGTCCAACCCATCGGCCTTTTGATTCAACCGAAGAGGCATTTTTGAGCTGAAAAGTATAGCGTATTTATCAAGCACGTGATTCCCTTCCTTGGGTCCACCCTTGGAAATACTAGGGTACAGTTATTCATACCCCAATATTTAATACCTTACAATATCAAATTTATAATGTGGGAAAAAATATACATTGAAACCTCATAACAAATTATTGGTAATTTTATTTAAATAACTAAATATTAATTCGTAAATGGTCATCTTAAGAGATGATATTTTATAAATCCAAGATTTAGCTTCAAAATTGAATTCTGTAACTTAATATTTAACGAGTTTCTTATGTATAATTTTTTTTTTCAAGAATTTTATCTATATATAGTATTTTATGAAAAAATTTTAAACAGTTGTATGCAGCAATTATACAAAATTTTCAATAATCTTTTATCTATAATCAACCCAACTCTTTTTTATATATAAATTGGAATATAAAATTTTATGCCTTATCAATGTAAGGTGGGTTGATAGGTGAGAACAATAGTAGAATATTTAAAATGATTTCACATCTTATTGAGCATAAGTATAGCTGTTTATCATAAGTACAACATTAATTTTTTTTAAGTCGACAGTACAAAAGGAAGGTAACGACATTTAAAAATGTCATTTATGAATTAAAATTACTCAAACGGCGCCGAGTTTGTCATTGTTTGCGGCTAGAATTGAGACTTTCGATTTGTGGAATATTAAAACTTGATATTTTCAATCCAGAGTTCTATACAAATTTTAAAGGTCTTTTTTGGTAAAAAGAATATCGAAATCTAGAGATATAATTTTTTTATAATTTTTTGCTACTTTTTGATAAAAAAATTATAATATAAAAATAATATTATGAAATCTAATTTTTTTAAAGATTTTTTAGTACTTCCAAAGAAATCGTAATATGTTGACAAAAAAAAATAAATGTTAAAATTTAAAATTATTAATATTTATTTTTTAATAATGATTGCATTAAAAATATTTTGTAATCATTAAAATATAATGATTTTTTTAAAAAAAATAACTCATAAGTTAAATAATGATACTTTAATCATTTTAACTCGAGTTTACCTAAAATTAACTTAACTTATCATCTAAAAATACATGAACATGTTAACTTATTATCCTTAGATTAGATTTTCATTTGTTAAGTTAGTCGAGCTAGGATTATTAGTAATATGTCTAACTTTAAAAAATCTAATCATCTAAATCTAATACTCTTATCCTACGAGTATATATAATCCCCATTTAAAAGCACAAATGTCGGGGAAACTTATAGCCTTTATTTCTAACTAATCTTTGAACTTGTGGCTAGAGATTGATAAACAAACTGAGCTAAATCATGAGTTATAAGTATTTTAGTTTTATTTCATTTTAAGTTTGAGCCATAACACTTTTTTTTTTTGTGATTTCTTTCTCATCAAAGAAAAATATAACTATGGAACGGTCAACGAAATAAACGGTGATGACGACGTTGAACCAAAGTCAAGGTCTGAGCATCACACAATAAAAGGTCTCCATGTTATCAACGTCAAGGACACGTCAGTCATAAATCTCAAGGAAAGGACAAATCCGTGTAATAACAGTTCAATGTCCGCTTCTTCGTCTTTTTCTTTTAATTGTTTTAATAAAAAACAATAAAAACAATTATAGGAAAAAATCAGCTACATCTCCAACACATAATTCGCTCAATGTACTTTTCTGCCTTTATATTTTTGTTTTTGTGGGGTCCATTCTAGGAGATAAAAGCATCCCCAACCGTCAGATTACTTGAAGCACCGATACAAGGACCACGTACACGCTACAAAATTTTAGTTTTTGGTATTTTATTTTGGCCATTATTTTTAAAAAAATGCTTATCAATATTTTTAGATTTTGTTCGAATTTAATTATTTTTTGAGTAAGTTGATTTTGTTAAAGCAAGATTTTATTTTTGAAATACATTTCAAAAAATTGAATCTTATAGATAATGAATATAAAAATTTATTTAATATTAAAAAAAAAACATATTCAAAGAAATTTATGGTGTGTAATGCATGGTTTTTCAATTAGAAAGTTTCTATTTATAAATAGTTAGTCACATTGCATTTTAAGATTAGGGTATGACATCTCCGTCCATCATTAGCTGCCGACTGCCATGTGGACCGACACGATATGACTTGACATATAATTAATTAATTTTATTTAGTATATAGTGTGAAAATTTGTGTGGTTTTTTGTGAGAATTCACACATGGTGGACCGACCAAGGATAAGTTTGAATCCATAAATATATAATGATTCATGTGAATTTCACTATTTGTAGCTAGGAATAAAACTTTATTGATATGGGAAGGAGAAAAATATATAATATATAGCTACTATTTTATAGTTACCGACATAGAGTGGTAATTAAGGGTTACTACATAACTATAATTTTCACGTGTTAATTGGATTCAATCCGCATGATAAAGTTGCCGACATTCTAATTTATCGATAAAATATTAAAATTTTAATTTTAATAATCAAAATTTAAATTTTAATATTTTAAATATTTAAAAAATTCACAAAATATAATTTATTTTTCTATGTTAAAAAAGTTGTTAGAAATTAAATAACCTAGAGTCAATGTTAAAAAAAAAAATAAAAATGTTTAATTATGATGAGATTTGAGTCTTAAAACTCAAAATTTTTAATAGAGAAATAATAATCATTAGGCTATGCCTGAATTATTTATAAATATTCAATTATAATTATTCATATATAATATATGTATTAATTATGTAAATCAATTTTCGAGCAAAATAATTCATGGTATATATTAAATAATTAAAATTGGACAAACACAATTGTTTTTACATTGTTTATTTCATATATATATATATATATTAGGGTTAATACTATATTGTTAATAAGAAACTTATGAAAGTCAACTCCTGGCCATATCTAAAGAGGGAATTGGTTTATGTTAGACATTTTTTTAGGATTGAAAACAACAAATTAAAATTTTATAAAGTGGAACTCATGCATCTAATTCTAATATATATTAATCCAATTTGCATTGGGTTTTTAAATTAATAATTAAGTAACTTTTTTTTTTGGTCAAAAAGAAATGATGTACAATATTTTAGGCTTGATTTTTTTTTTTTGTATTTATTTATTTTATGTAATTTGGTTTTGTTAATTCGTCTCTGGCATCCATTTATTGAAATGAGAATCATTGCCTAACTCTTAAATCTCTAAAGTTAATTAAAACATCCAACTATCCAAGTACTTTAATTAATAAATCTAAGATGTTAGTCTCAATCTATTACCATTTAGATCAAAATTAAGCACAAAAAACATGTGAATTTTATTTTTTACAATAAAAATCTATGATTATTTAATTAACATTTAATTCAATAATTAATATATGTTTTCTTTCTCAAAAAATTGTGGTCGAATTTTTTCATCCTTCAATATATATATATATGTACATAATTACGATTTAGCATAATTATCCCATAAGTTATAATTAAGATCAAATTAAGCTTTGAAAAACATAAGAGTCTAGAGTTTTAAAATTTGACTAAGAAAAGATTGAAAAAGTTTTTGTGAGAGGAATCACCAAAAAACAATATCCTAAGTTTGTATATGCACCATTAATTTTATTTTAATAAGACATAATCGTGAATCAATCATAGTAATCATATTTAATTAGGCTGTAAAAAATTGACACTAATAGTTTTTTATTTATAAAATATCAATAAAAAACATATTTCAAAGGTAAAAATACAAAAAGAAAAATGTATATAATAAATCAAACCCATTCCCAAAGAAGAAAGGGGCAATCGGGCAAATGTAGACAATGCTACCCACTGTTGACACGTCCCCATCTTTTTTTATTGTTTTTTTTTCCTTTTTAGGTCTGTTGTTGCCACTTACTCTATCTTGAGATCAATCTCTTTCCTTTTTCCTTTGTTTTTCCTTTCTCTCTCTCTTCTTTTCTCTCCATTTGTCTATACAACCAGACAGCCGTTTTTCTTCAATTTTTTCACCATTAACTTATCTCACTCCAACGCAATCTTGTTAAGGTTTTCTTGCATCGTCCGTTACCAAGAAAAAGACCATCTTTCAAGCACTTCGAAGCAATTTTTTTCTGTTTTTATTTCTCTTTTCAGGACTTGTTTCGGTTTTGTTTTCTTGAAGAAACAAAGGAAAAAAAACTATGGGTTTTGGATATCAAACCCTGGAAAGTATCTGAAAAACATCGGTTTTACTTGGTTTGTTCTCGTTTTAAAGATCAAAGCAAGAAAAAGCTGAAAAAAAAAAAAACAAAGAAAACATGTTGGATCTTAACCTTGATATTGTCTCAAGTGAGTCATCTTGTGATGAGAACAACAAGATGTTTGACAAGTTACTACCAGAAGCTGTAACAACATTGACTCAAATGGAAGATTCAGGTTCGACAAACTCTTCCATCATCAACGCCGAGGATGTTCCATCCAATGCTGGGGACGAAAACTCTTCAAACAACGGTTCTGCATTCATTTTTGATATCTTGAAGAAAGAAACAGATGATACCTCCATGACCATCAATGCAAAAAGGGTTGAAAACCCTTCACCGGACTTCGTTACTCGACAGCTTTTTCAGTTCACCGGAGAAAAAGACTGTCTGGAGTTGGAGTTTGGATCAAGCGCTTTGGGAACAAAGTCTTTGGCTAGGCCTCGGTGGTTGAATTTATCTTATGCCGAGTCTAGTGGTGTGGCAGAGTTGAAAACTGTTCAGCTAAAGCCTCAATCAAGGAAGAGTAGGCGGGGCCCACGGTCCCGGAGTTCACAGTATCGAGGTGTCACGTTTTACAGGAGAACAGGCCGATGGGAATCACATATATGGTAACAAATAATTCATATAAATATATGTATATATATAGATATAGATATATATTTTTCTTCTTGTTTTTAATTCTTTTTTAAAAATTTTTGTGAATAGGGATTGTGGGAAGCAAGTATATTTAGGTAAGTAAAATGATTTATCTAAGTTTTTTTTTTGGTTGGTTAAAGAATTGATGATTTTGTGAATAATTCATAGATTTAGATTATTTGCTGATAAGGGTATACTTGTTGTTCTTTTTCTTTTCTGTAGGTGGATTTGACACTGCCCATGCTGCAGCCAGGTGAGGGTTTTTTTTCATAATTTTTTTGTATGATAAGTAGTCATATTTATCATATTATTTTGGCTCAAAGTTTTCTAAATTTGGATCTTATTCAGGGCATATGATCGAGCTGCAATCAAGTTCCGGGGAGTTGATGCTGATATCAACTTCAATTTGAGTGATTATGAAGAAGACATGAAACAGGTAACGTATAGCAGAAGACTTATAATTATGTTAAGACTCTATGAGATTTTTTAAGGTTTTTTGTTTGTTTGTTTACTTGATTTTGATTGTAATTCTTTGGATCTGCAGATGAAGCACATGTCTAAAGAAGAATTTGTGCACATTCTTCGTCGTCAAAGCACCGGATTCTCAAGGGGAAGCTCAAAGTACAGAGGGGTAACCTTGCATAAATGTGGTCGATGGGAAGCTCGAATGGGACAACTCCTTGGAAAGAAGTGAGAATCTGTTCGACCAAAGCTTTGTTTCATATGATCATAGGATTAGATTTAGTCATGAAAATTTAGAATACATGATTTTGTATCCAGATTAGGCTTTTAATCAAGAACTTGTTGCGTTTCGCTTTCTCTTCATGAATCAAAATCTAGGATGACAATCTAAAAGTGGAAAAAAATTGTATAGGCTGTGAAAATTATGATCCTTGATTGCAGGTATATTTATCTTGGATTATTCGACAGCGAAGTAGAAGCTGCAAGGTCTTTTGTCTCATAGTTTTATACTCCAACACATTGATTTTATATAAAAATAAACTGTAATTCATATGGTTTAATGTAACTCATATTTCACCTTTTCATTTCTGAATTCAGGGCTTATGACATGGCTGCAATGAAATGCAATGGAAGGGAAGCTGTAACTAACTTTGAGCCAAGTACATATAAAGGGGAGATCACATATAGTGGAGGTACTCAGAGATTTCAAGCCTGTTGTTGTTATTTAGTTCAAAACAAGTTCCTGATTTGTTTGGATGCTAAATTTTCTTATGCATTGAGTGCAGGCAATTGTCATAATCTTGATTTGAGCCTTGGAATTTCAACGCCTTCAGTCGTCCAAAACAGGAGCAACAAAGGAGGAGATCTCCATTTTCGACTTGCTGCAAGTGCCGGAGAGAGACCAATGGTATTGTCTTGGACTGGAGACCATTAAAGAATTGTTGAGTAGGGATATCATCTTGAATGGGACACCAAAATTCCCTGTACATTTGCAGTGACAGATTCAGGATTTTTTTTTTTTTTATGTCCCAGTGCTGGATGGGGAATATTTTGGGATGTCCAGAAGAAAATTTTCTTATTTTTCAATCTTGATTTGGGGGTGTCATGGAAACCCTACTATAGCATTTGCATCCGCCAGTGTAGATTAATTGGTTCCTTGAAAACTCGGATCGTATACTCCATGTTGAAGAACCTCCTGATGCCATTAGGCCCTCATTTGGAACCAATATAGCTGCTAGTGGTAGCCTTGTAGTCTTAGAAAGTAGCTTGATCTGTTCGTGCTTTAATTAGCTCCACCTACTGTACTCGGAAAAAGTGCCCTAATTTAATGTATCTCAGTTTTGTTTCCATTTCTGGAATCATCCTTTAAATCAATTTCCTTTTTTAGAGCTGTTTCAGAATTAATGTATATACTCATTCCCTAGTGTGTTTTTTCTCAGTTTGAAAGCTCTGCCACTACATCTGTCGGTGTACAACCTCAACATTACCAAACAATAGCATCTAAGCAACCTCCCATTTCATCTGGTGTTTATCCTTTTCTTTTTCCAAACAATGAGGTACTTTGTTTCATTTCATTGGCTCTTTGCTTCTTGTTTCTGCAATTGTAGACAGAATAATAATTTGTGTTCCACCAGAGTGGACATGCCTTCAGCTTTTTTGTCTGTACAAATTTACATCGATAGCGGATAATACTTTTAATATATATGATAATTTCTATGTTTATATTATGTAAAATATTAGTAATTCATGTATTTATATTATATTTTATATGAAAATTATATTATTATTCTTGATGATACGAAAAATATAAAATATTTTTTTGGGTTAAATTTATATATGATTTTTATTAAAATTTTAATTCATATTATTTTTGTATTTTTTTTTTATCTTATCTGGGTCATATTTTAAATTGCTCGTTATTGCTTTCAGATCCTTAGAGCATTTACTTTAGAGTGTGGTCAGTCATGTCTTCTGTCTCATTTACTGCTGCAAAATACACAGAACTAATATCAAAGGTGATGATTACTGGAAAACACTGAAACTATCAATTCTGCAACATTTATCACATTGTTTCACTACCTAATTCTGGGAATTATACCACTTGAGAGAATTTTTTCCCATTTCAATTGACTGTACTTTTCTCACCTAAAAATTTAAAATTTCTCCTAACAATGTTAAATTACGTATCAGAGAATACAGATTGTGACATTGAAAGATTTTTTGGTGACAGGAAAGGGCCATGGAGAAGAGGGCTGAAGCTGTTTCTTCAACAAGATTTTCAAATTGGGCATGGCAAATGCAAGGCAATGGCAAAATTGCCCCGGTACCAGTGTTTCCTATCGCAGCATCATCAGGATTCTCTTCATCCAGTGCCACTGCTTCATCAAATACTTTCCTTTTGAACAATTCTGTCCAAAGTGTCTGCTTTCTGACACCACCCACAGCCACCAACAGCCATTCTCCTTACAATAGTTACAGAAGCTGAAATCAGCAAGACATCGAACCGCCACAAACTCTTCATTATGCTCATTATTGGAGAAGTTAGGTGAGCAAAAAAAAAGCTGTAACGATTGGATTAATCTTTAGAGTTTGCATTTGTTACAAGTGTGTAATAGAATATCAAGCATTTGTTAATGCTGCAGTACTCAAGAACCTGCTTTCATAATATTTTGTGTTAGTCTAATCTTCTGCAGGAACTGGTGCAAACTTGGCTCTTACCAATTTAACATCCCAAACTATCAACATAACCGCCCAGGGTCAGCCTAGTATGTCAATTTAAAACATGATATGATGATATAATACAAAAAAAAATGATAAAAATTTTAACAAAATATATATATGGATTTAACAAAAATTAAAATTGTATTTTGTATTTTTCGCATTGATACTAAATGTAATAGTAATTTTTATATAAAATTCGAAAAGATTATATGAATAATTAGTGTTTTGCATGATTGAAATACAATCTAGGTTAAAGCACTTACAGGGTGAAAAAAAAAGCATAAAATCAATGACATACGGATGGAAAAATGATTGCTATAATGAAGTAAGCAAAGAACATTTTCAGAAGAATTAAGAAGTTGGGGCCCCCGATTAAGTACTTAGTAAAAGAAAAAGACCAAAAAAAAAATCTACAATTGACAGAAACAGTAAATCCTATCCTTATGGCAGGAAATTTCCTCTCCAAGATAAGGCTTGTTTCAAACCAATTGCAGCAGTCAACTTCAATTAGCTCAAGTTGAACCAGCGCGTGTAGCATTTGATGGTTGAGGTTGCAATGTCCAAGCTTCATGCTCCAATTTACTCGAACAAAATGAAGTTGGTCGAGTTGTTGCAAGTTGCAATATGAAAATTTCAGGTCCCCACATTTTAAAACCTTTGCTCCTAAGCCTATATATTAATTACCCTACATTTATTTCAACCAACCCCAAGTTGCATCCCACAGCTCCAAAATCTCATTGTACACTCGATATTGATAGCTTTGGAGGGTCACTATCATGAATTTGTAGACCCAATCATGCTAAATGCTAGTAAATAAGCAGTTAATTCACTAGAACCTTTTTGAGGGTTGAGAATTTTGAATTCGAATTTTAATTATAATCAAATAACAAAAAAAAAAAAACCCCTCAATCATGCTAAATTATATATATATATATTTTAATACGAATGTGATTTAACTTTTTTATAATAAAATATTAATAATTAATTTAAACTTTTAAAAAATTTTATTTTATGTATAATCTAATCATTATATGATTCGAACTCACAAAATTCGTCTGAATTTAATTTTTTTTAATTGTGGACCTTCGTGGCAATAATGTATAATTTGGTCATGTAAAATTGGGAAAGAAAAGAAAAAGATGTCTATGGAGAATGTACAAAGCTATTGAGAATGATAGGGAGGGGGGGGGGGGGGACATAAGGTGTTGGCGAATTATAATGGTGTTGTCTTTGATAGTTTGTCTTTATAGTGGAAATTTTGTTTTTGTGATCAATGATAGCTGGCAAACGGATAAGTGGCAATGACCTTCAAGATGGCCTTGACCATGAATTTCCCTCAAGGAATCAATTGCTGTCTATTATAGATTTTTCTTATAATGTCAAATCACAGATTCTAAATGAAAAAGAAAAAAAGTGGACATGGCCTAAAACAAATAATAATTAAAGAGTAGACATCAAGTTATATCAATAAAAGTTTATATTTTTTTACATATTTTTTAATTATTGATTTTAATAAATCAAAAAGATAAGTTAAAAAAATAGTTTAATTTGATTTATTGAATCTATTAAAATTAAAAAAGTTCTATACTAATATAAATCAGTCTCTCTCCATACTTCAAAGAAATAAATCTAAAATTGGTTATTTTGTTTCTTGCTAAAAATAGATTCTAGCAACAAAAACAAAAATATGTGAACCAAATTCATCCTATCATCAATGTTAGAGAGAAATCCATCAATCTGTTAAATCAGATCGTAAGAAGGAAAAAAAAAAAAAATTCTAATATCAAATTCTTGGTTTAACCATAACAAATTTCATGAGCCAAACTAGTCACTTATCATAGTAATTTGAACCAAATCAATTTGCAATTTAGTCGGTAATCTTTCTAATTTGAGTAAATTTTTACTAAATTTGCTTTACTATGTGTGAGTCTAACTATCTAATTATATTTTAATTTGTTTATTAATTATTCAATAATAGTAATTTAATTATAATACAATAATTGCTTATTGAATATATATATATATATATATTTGGTTTAGGGGAGGACATAGCTCTTGCAAGGAGTAAAGGGAGAGGAGATTTTGATTCCGATGTCCTTATAAAGCCTTTTGAGCCACTAAACTAAGATGCGAAAGACAAAAATATATGTTTTGCAATACATGATTTTTTATCCTTTTAGAAGGAAAAATCCATCTCCTCACTCCATGAAGATAAATAAAATATTTACATAAATTTTTTTTAATAAAAAATTCTGTTATAACGTTTAGATCAGGGGATTTATCGTTAAACATTGACTTAAAAGAATCGCCACCAATCTTTTTTATCTAGATGCGATTGACTACCTAAAGAATCTATCTTTTTAAGGAACACCTAAGCCTAAGGGTCCCTAAAAGAATAAGTTCAAGTCTACTAATCAGAACAGAGTTCAGGAGTACGATTACATGTGAGAAAGGTCATAGCACCTTCACAATGCCCATCGAAAGATGGTATCAGCTTAATTTTGTGTTATTCAATAAGCTTTAAAAATTTACCAAGTAATTAATTATTGAAAATTATTCTCAATTGACTCTAATACTTTTAGCAGAAAATTAAAAAAATTTTCTCACCTCAAGAGTATGCAAGGAAACTACTATTTCATTTACAGAGGCTCTATTGTTAGATTATTTAACATTAAAAAAAATTCAAAAATGAAAAGAAATAAAATGAAAAAAAAAGAATAATGATTCAGGTTTAGATATAAATCATTTTCTCTTCAAAAACTCATTGTTTTTGTACAAGAAAAATTGATACTTTCAACTTTTCCTCGAAAATATTTTTTTTAAAAAATCATTTTCTCTTCAAAAACTCATTGTTTTTGTACAAGAAAAATTGATACTTTCAACTTTTCCTAAAAAAAACCCATTTTTAGAAAATTATTTTCAAAGAAAATTGATACTTTCAACTTTTCTTCGAAAATATTTTTTAGAAAACTTATTTTCAAGGAAAATTGATACTTTCAACTTTTCCTCAAAAAAATATTTTTTTGAAATTTTATTTAAAGAAAATCATTTAAAATAAAATAAAGATAAAAATAAAATCAGAAAAACTAAATAATTCTAATCTAATAAATAATAATAATAATAACAAAAGAAATAATAATAATAAATAAATAAAAAAACCTTTGGAACAGCTCGGCTCGACTGGGAAATAACTCGGCTCAAGACAGAAATCACGACTCAAATGACGCAGCTTGGTGGCTCGGCTCGGCTAAAAAGGTCGGTTGAGGCGCGAGTCGAACTTGGGTCAGAAGCGGGTTAGCGCTACGGGTCGAGTCGTCTGAATGGGAATGCGTGGATTTTGGGGTTTTCTTAAGCACAAAACGACATCGTTTTTCGGCACTATAAAATGCTCCAACTTCTGTTTCTTTCGCAGACTACCTCCCTTCCTTCTCTCTCTTTCCCACAGCTTTCTCCTCCTTCTCTCTACCCGAAGAACACAACCCAAAATTCGATTGAATTTTCATCGGATTCTAAAAAATAATGTCGAAAACTTCAAAGTTGGCCAAAAAACTCGTCAAAAAATTCAAGATTCGTCGAAAAATTTCATCGAATTTTGGAAAATTTCTATAAATTTTCCTGAAAAAAAACTTCAAAAGTTTTAATTAATTTCCCACAAATTCCTAAAGTTGTATCTAACACATCAGAACTTTTTTAGCTTTTGTTTTCTCTCTGTGTGTGTGTTTTCGTTCATTTTCTGTGGATCTATTTATAAGAATTGATCAGAAGAGTTTTTGATCAATCCCAATTCCCTATTGGATTGGGATTAAATCCTTGAATCCAATCTGGACTCTGATTGAATCCCAAATTCACTATAAAATTCTCACTTTTTGATCAATATCCTTTAATCCTAGCAAAAAAAATAGATAAATAATAAATAAATAAATATATATACTAATAGATAAATAATAGATAATAGTTAATAATAAAAATTTATATACATTAATAGATAAATAATAATATATATTAATAGATAAATATATATATATATATTAATAAATAATAATAATAGCAATAAATAAATAAATAAGATACAAAATAAAAATACAAAATTGGCTTACCCATTTGGACCAGGCTCCATTGATCCAGGCCTGGACCAAATTGGGTGTCTACAGCTGTCCCTTTTTATATATTTTCTGTGAAACAAGAATTATGTAAAGACGTAGACACCCATTCAAGACTTAACTCGACACTTTTTTTTTGGGTTAAAATTTTGATCAAAGCTCCTCTAAGTAAAGGCTCAACGACTTTGAAAAAAATAAATAAAGCTCCTCTAAATAGAGGCTCCATGACCTTAAAAATAAATGGCTCATCCAATCAGAAGCTCAATGACTTTTGAAAAATAAACCAAGCTCCTCTAAATAGAGGCTCAATGACTTAAACAATTAACAAAGCTCCTCTAAACAGAGTCTTAATGACTTAAATAATAAACAAAGCTCCTCTAAACAGAGGCTTGATGACTTTTAAAAAATAAACAAAGCTTTTCTAAATAAAGGCTCAACGACTTAAATAATAAACAAAGCTATTCTAAACAGAGGCTCAACGATTTTTGAAAAATAAACAAAGCTCCTCTAAACAGAGGCTCAACAACTTTAAAAAATAAACAAAGCTCATCTAAACAGAGGCATCACAACTTTGAAAGTAAATGCTCCTTGACAATCATGTCTGAAAGAGTTAAAAATCGTGTATGAGGAAATTTCAGAAGATTATGCCCAAAGGTCTTACAAATCAATCCTGATACCAAGAGATATCCTATTTCAAGGATTAGAAACTTACTAGGATTAGAAACTTACTTGACAAGCTTTTTCTCAAATTTGAAAATGGCTTCACATCTGTCTTCTCTATGTGAGATTTTGGAATGCCCTTGCTTCTTAAATTTATGCACTATATTTTCTTGAATGTAGTATATGCTATGTAATGCGTGTGAAATTCAATGCAT